ATAGACATACCAGCTGACCTCAAATCCACATCAACAATATTTTCCAACAGATTGCATAAACATTGCTTGCGAAAATCTCACCACTTCATAATAGTTTTCATCATGGTCGATACCTGGGTTAATGTTTGCTCATTCTAATCTGTTCAAAATTAAACTCATCATCTTTATAGGTACTTTTGAGAATGATTTAGTGCAGATGTATACGTTTACGTTTTTTGTCTATAGCGTCATAATGTCCTAATAAATATAATAATTATTATTATTATATTTATTATTATAATTATTATGACATTGCTATTACTATATAATTACGTAGCCCGATTGTCCTTCAGTACCTTATCCCCTCCACAATGACCAAAGGTTGTACTTGGACTTATTAACTCTTTTAAAGCAATAAATTTATAATCTATCATATTCTAGAAAAAAGTATTAAATGCTGTATTTTTTTAAATAACAATAGATTATTTAAACAAATTATGAACATTATCTACGTGTATGAATGTATCAAGTGAGTTGTTGCAGTTTATAGATGGGAACTTTCCAAAAACCATGTCACTTATTCCACCATGAATAATACAATCATGCCTATGGGAAACACACGTTTATATTAATTTGTAGACAGATTTCTCGTTTATTGGTTAACACGACAGGTGAGCATTACTAAACCCTAGCATCAGGAAGTTCCTATAAATGTGGCCTACATGTGAAGTAGCCTAGGCTTGCTTCTTTTTAATGCCACATCCTGCTTCCCGTTTCAATTTTTTAACCCCATCTTTTACATTAATTTCTCTAATATGACGTATTTAAGTTAAGTTATTGTTGTTAATAATAATACATTTTTGTTGTAGGCCTATTTTACGTCATTTTAGTTATTCTAGTAATTAGTAATAATTGATTGGAATATTATAATCATAACTTCAATTTCAATTTTATATATCAGTATTCCTGAAACATGTAACTTGTCGGCTAGAGGAACAAATCAAGATGAATTAGTAAAGTTAGGGAATAACTTTATTTCAGAAATTGAGGTCTATGTTTATCTCGGAGTACACGCGTCTCGTAATCTAAGTATATTAATGAAACTATAGAATTAGATTATTATGCTTATTGCATACTGTATATCAAATCAATTGTTTTAAAATATTGTGTTAATATATTTTGTGCTGTTGATACACAAATTTACAAAATAAAAAGAAATCAAAATTAATTTTTATTTAAATTTACAAATTTAACTGATTGATTAATTTTTCGTGTGGAGTACATTTGTTGCGATTAGGGTTTGGATTTGGGTTTTTATCCTGAAGCTCCGGGCTCTTAGGCACATTGTATGATTTATATTTTTATTTGTTTTTTAGGCAATTTTTCTTTTCAATTATTCGCAGTTATAAGGTGGAGGCTTACCTCTCTCGAATTCGCCTATGGATCTGTACCGTATCTCTTCACCTCACCATTCTTGAGAACTGGAGATGTTTGCCAAAGAACGCATTAGTAGTTGACAAAGAATGTACTGTAAATGAGTAAGATTTGGTATCATCATTATTAGGCGGTATCTTCGTCTGCAGAACGTTTTTAGATATACAAAGGTTAAATTCTGCAAGAATGTATCAGCAATAGAACCTCTTTCTGTATTCCTGTAACGTCACTGCTTTTAATAGGCTTAACATTCACTCACTTTGCCCGAGCTGGTAGAGTATCCGAACAATCGGAACCTCTTAGGTTTGAATCCTGCTGGGTTCACATGTTTTTATCAACTATTTGTTATCTTCTTTAATTATCAGTGGAGGTGTATCTCGGTACCAAAGAAAACGGAACGTGTCTTAATACCACTTGGCCTCATAGCTCAGTTCAGTTGGTAGAGTATCCGAACGGTAATCGGAATGTCTTGGGTTCGAATCCCGTATGGGGACATACGTTTATGTAGGTAAGAATGGCCCCGGAAAAAATGGCCCAGGAAAAAATGGCCCCAGTAAAAATGGCCCCAAATGACAGGTAGGTAAAAATGGCCCCAATAATAAAATTCTGTATTAAAACTGATTTTTTTTTTAAATCATTATATGCATTTTTAAACGGAAATAATTTAGTTTAAGAGGAATCTAACATCAAATAAACTGCCATTTACATTTTGCAGAAATTACATATTCAATGATAAAATATTCAAAGATAAAAAAAAGCCATGAATAATACTTTTTTTTTCCCCATTTAAATGTTAAAAAATAGCAACAACATAATCTATAAATCAACGTAAATCATGCATTTATTAATACTAAAATAATTTATTTGTGGCCAATTTCAAGGAAGTGGAATCAAAATTTTCCAGAAATTCAATCCGGGTATTAGTAAACCCAACAAACAATGAGTTTATATGAACATCAAATTTTTATTTATTTTTTTTTTTTTAGAAAAAGAGAGTTCTACAATCGAATTAAAGGGTTTGGATGGGGTTCACAGTGTGTTTGGCGGATTGTGGTGTATTTGCAACCAAAAAATAGGTTCTTATAAATATTTCAATTTCTTATTGATATACCAAGTGAGTCAATCATAATTGAATTGTTTGGTTTTCTACAGTGTGTTTTAGGAGGTTTTTGGGATTTAGCAATACCATTTGATCCTACCATAATTACTTTACCCTCACAATTACACGCCATTTTAATTCTTAGCATAATTGCCATATTTACATAACTATGTATATAATATAGTATCTTAGTTTACATTATTTAGTATAGTTTTAGGCACTTAAATTCACTTGGCGGGGAGTAGAAACCAAGTATGCGATTAAATAAGTTGCTTAAATAAATGTATTCCTAATTATTCAGTTTACTTTAAAAACGATATTTGATTAACAAATACTTCATTAAAGTAACTCTAAGCAGAACATTTGTTGAAGTAAAGTAAGCCTCCCTTTTCCCATACATGAACTTGTCATTCAAACACACAATTGATCCACATGCTTTAACTGTTTATTTGCACTGTTTATAACATGTAAAGTTATTGCATTTGATACTTAACAAAAGTGAATTTTGTGGTTATCTATGAGTTGCATATTTTGGTAGTTGAAGTACTGTATGTATGTCATTCCTCTACTTTGTTAGTGGAATAACGTTTTTTAATACTTATTATTGTTTTCTGATAATCTCTCAGTACATTATTTGCATCTGTTGTGTAACTGTATTTGTTATTGATTCAATTCTTGCTTATTTCAGTAATTAAATATTTGAAGATTTAAAAAAAAAATATACTTTCTATTACGGAATTTTTTCATTGGAGCCATTTTTACCTACTTGTCATTCGGGGCCATTTTTACCGGGGCCATTTTTTCCGGGGCCATTTTTCCCTGGGCCATTTTTCCGGGCCATTCTTACCTACATTCGTTTATGCAATATGGGTAATAGGGACGCTGGCGCTCAGCGCATCGGAAACGCGGTCAAATTTCGGTGAATTCGATGTGAATGCAGGTATATTTCTATTGTTTATTTCTTTTGAACTAGCGAAATACAATTTTTTGAAATAAAATGATGAATGAATGAATTATAGGCCTATGTTGAATACTATGTTGATGTGTCGTTGTGCGGATAGAACAAAATTAGATAGTCTACGATGTACTTAGTGGAATTTTTCTGTAGGCGACCAATTATGATTTAAATGGGATGGGAATCCAAATGCACAATATTAAAGCGATTAGGTAAATCTTGTAAGAATTGTAAAATGCTGGTTAAAAATAGAGTGGGAGGGCTGTTACCGTATAGCTAGAAGGTTGATGTGATTTACAAGATTAAATTTCATTGATGATAGTAATGTGTAAAATATGCAACCCACACGATATTATGATAAGCTTAAAATAATCCTTGTTTGACCAAAGCTTGGAGCTTACATGCATTGTCAATTATCTCTTGTCACGGCCTGATTTACAATCCAGTATGGTATGTGACATAATAATAATTATTCTTTAATTGTTCCCATTCAACCTGAAAATTGTATAACATAATCAATATCAAGGCATAGCCTTGGTAATGAAGATTATAGGTTTTGTATCTTCTGCTTTATTTCATTTGTTTGTTAATTAACTTTCTTATTCAATTTATTGCTTAGCTATAATGCACAAGATCATTGTTTTATTATGTACTATTTACAGTTTGTAGTGATGAAACTACAGTATTTATAGTGCAGAACTATTGTGAACCTATTGTGTATCCTATACAAAGTTAACGAGTTCCACTTGTTGTAAAGGTTCTTTGTCTTAATTAGTTCGTACCCGTATATGGTTGTTTGGGTATTTCTACTGTCTGCGTTGGGTGATTGTGGCGCCCTCTACCAAACCCTGTCTCTTATACACATCTAGATGTGTATAAGAGACAGGGATTACGGTAGTGAGGCTATCGAGATTGCTTAAGCGTTTCGTTAGCATTGATTATTATTACAGTATACAATTATATATTGTTATGATTTATTTTACATGATTCTTTATTATGACACGTTTATATTATAAGCCTACTGAAGTTTGATTTAGTATGGTTATATTGTAATTTCTTTAGCGATTGTAATTGTACTTGCTATCCGTAGTTACTGCTACGTGATAATATAGTTCTGAGAAACTATTACTGTTACTATGTCGATTATAGTATAAGTATATAAGTGTATTATCAATGACCCATCTAGATGTGTATAAGAGACAGGTGTACAGTACTACTTTGATGTGTACTAGATTTGGTCGCTGATGTTTGCCGATCAGTTTGTATTGGATAGTTGCGCCATAGTTCTCGTAAGTGTTCACTGTGCATGAACCGATACTATTCTATGTGTAGTTAACGGTCCTACTAAATAGCGCCCGGTAGCGCCCGGTAGCTCCCGGCAGCGCCCGGTAGTCCATGGTGCCGCCCGCTAGTGCCCGGTAGGGTCTCGCATGACGCCCGCTAGCGCCCGGTGCCATAAGTAAAATCAAGCAGCAAAAAAAAAGTTATTTGCCGTAAAATTTTCAGTTCAAAATATTCTTTTCATTTTATACAGAGGGCCTACTCTGGTTTGTAGAGAAATTTCCCTCTGTGCTTTATGTCGTCGCTATAAATAATATTAGTAAAAATTTCAGTTCAAAATATTCTTTTCATTTTATACAGAGGGCCTACTCTGGTTTGTAGAGAAATTTCCCTCTGTGCTTTATGTCGTCGCTATAGGTAACAATCTTTATTAATTAAGTAAATAAGTAAATATTTTGATATTTTCAGATCAATATATTCTTTTCATATTTTTCCCTTTCAGGAACCCAAATGCTGAGGCAGAATTTTATAAGCCACAAGATCAACAGCTTGAAATAAAATATTAATAAATTAATACATAATGAGGTTTTTTTTCCTAATATTTTGTAATGTTGCGTTTTAAACATTATTTGATAGTAAAAAACTGGAGAAATTAGTGCGAAGCACCACTGAATGCCTTGGCCTGTAGGGGAGGAAATCTCATGATTCTTATGCTCTACATTCCACAATAATACAACACTTTTAATACATTTTTATATTCGACAGCGGATAAGCTAAAGGGGTAAGCTGGCTAACGCAAGGATCTCAGAACAATACAAGACGGAGGAACACTCCCACGGAGGAGAGGTTCGAACCAGAATACAATATATAAATGATACATAACAACTTATTCGACTGTACTGATCATTGTTAATCCAGTAAACACCTTTTGTTACCACCTTGCTGCAAGCTGATGAATAGGCTCTATTCAACCTACTTGCTCTATTTATATTCCTACTGTAGAGTATACTATAGGCTTATAATAAGAAGTAACCGACATTAGTATTGTTTTAAATCCAGTAAACACATTTTGTTACCACCCTGCTGAGCAAGCCAAATGTGCTGTAATTTCAGAGTGTGAAATACTGCATAAAATTAAGGCAAAATATCATTATTAGGCACCGGAATATTTAAAAGCAAAGTAGTGCATTAAGCCTTATAATAGACTCATTTATTTATCAAATTACGATGAAGAACGACAAAGCTCAAGTCAGTCTTTATTCGAATTAATACGAGTGAATATCCAATATGAAAAAATAATATACTCGTATCGGTTGAATATTCAATACAGTATATTTATGTTTAAGTCCATCGGATCGGCCGGGTTGTCCCTCTGCTGAGTTATCGGACTCCCACTGCCTAGAATACTAAATCTCAATGATTAATATTTATCCCGTAATTTACCTAATCGAAATGCTCAACTTTATATGGAGATTATAATTAATGATAAATGTTATTTAGGCCTACTTGAATACAATTGTGGTGTCTCTACAGTACCTCCATTCCGGAAAAAAAGCAACCTTTTTGCCTGGAGGGTATGACGTTTCCATCGTGATCTTTCAGACGAATTAATTCTTACAGTATGACGGTATTGATGCACTTTACACATATTTTTACACTATAGAGAGTTTTCGCCATACATTCTTTCAAGAACATAATGTTTTGTGAACTTGCATATTCTATTTTTCAGTAAATATTTCCTCATACACGATATTATTTCTTAATGCATTTTGTTTTGGTAGTTCAAATGTCGAGCAACTTGTCGTCTGTACTTCTACGATAGGCTGTAATCAATAAAAAATAATATAGTACCGTAATCATGTTCTACTTTTCATTACAAGTTGTAATACATAGTAAAAAGTTATACACCTACTCGAGTGTTTGAATTATTACACTTTATTCACATTCTTTACAGAATTTTTCTCCATGTTACCGGGCTTATGTTCATATATACTATTTTTGCAATATGTAATTTATTAAGATAGTATAATACATACTCCAAGTATCGAAATGCACGATCGTGTCGGGATTTAATATTTCGACATTAATTATGTCATCATCAGGATTTATTAATTATCATTAATACGTAATTATTTGTATATAATTGAAGTTCATATACACATATACATGTTATATACAGGGTTCCTGTCGGGCCCGTCCAGTACTCAACATTTCTGCCGACGACCCGGCATCACTATTTTTGCAATTGATATAGTACAAAAACAGTATAGGCTAACAAAATGTTCCGTTACACAACTACTGGAATAGGGAGTTGTTGTTGATTATCAACTCACTCTGGCTAGACAATGAACACGCTTGCTACATCAGATAAGACAAAAGATATCAATTAACGTCTCCGTGGTAACGTTAACTTTTAACGCTACTACTATGGACAGGCATAGTATTGTTGCTTTTTATTGAGCAACAAACGATTGAATCGGTGGCATGAATCGTGTACATATTTGGGTATATAGAATAGCAGGTTTTATTATATTAATATATTTTTATGATGTTTACAATTCTTAATGTGATTTCAATTTGTGCTTTTTTCAATAGTTTTTAAAGTAATTTGTAAATATTATTCAAAACTTACATTTGTTATTCTATGTAACTAAACTATACAATCTACATCAAATGAAAAACACTATAATAGACTATGAAGAAATGTTATTAAACCAACATTATTATTTTTATACGTTCCCATGCAATCATGTTAATGACCAATGAATGCAATGTTGAATGACCACTTTTTTTTTTTTAACGTTTATTGGATAAATGTAGCGTGGATAGAGAATTAACGTGCAATTTATGGTATGGAGAATCCTATGACAAGTATATGAAAAAAGTAATAAAAATTGACAAGATTGCTGTATACAATTGGTGTATAGGAAGTAACACTCTAATGATTTAGGGGAGAAATTCTGGTATATTTCTTAAGAGGTATCAACATTTAAAGGTTGCATGAATTTTCTTTATATTGGGTGAATATTTTGAAACTAATGTAGTCATTGCGATAGGCCTACATTGATATTAATGATATTGTATGTATTTCTTAATTGGGATGGTCTCTTTACGACCTATCACCGGTTTCTATCCCATCTACAATGTAAATTGGAGGACTCAATTGTAGGCTCACAAATGAGTGGAATGAATCTTGTCTTTGGCTCGGATGAAGAGAAGGCCCCAACAAAGGCAGTAAAAAGTGTTTTCCCTTCATCAGATTTAGTGTTATGCATGCAGCACATATCAAAGAATGTGAATCATCACCTAATTAAGATTGGCGTGGAAATCAGCGAAAGAAGAAAAATAATGGATACGATATTTGGCGCAACAGGACTTATGGCATGCAAAGAGGAATATGAATATTTAAAAAAAGCCATGGAGTTGCATGAAAAATATGTAAATGAGGTACCAACATTTGCAAATTATTTTAAGAATTTAACAGATAAATTGTTGGAAAATGTTGTCAAATCTCGTAACAAAAACAAATGGATTCCGTTAGATTGGAAGAATAACTCATGTGAAAGCTTAAATAATATCCTGAAATTAGCAGTGAATTGGAAAACCCTGAAACTGCCGGACTTAATTAATAGAATTAATAATATTGTTAAATTACAGCTCTGTGATATCCGTAGAGCAATACATGGAACAGGCAATTTTAAACTTGCACCATGGATGGCAAAGTTTGCAGTAAAACATGTAAATTGGGTGAAGAAAAGTGAGGCCGAAAAAGAAAATGTATATCGTAAATTTATGAAAGGTCCCAAAAAACTAAACAGTCACATTTGCTCAACGGACGGTGGATTAACTATACCAACGGTTGCTAAGAGTGCCCGAAAACCAGGCCAAAAACACCGTGTGAAAAATGCAAAAACTCAAAAAGTACGATTTTAAATATATGCAAATTATTTATAGAAAAAAAAAATCGCCGTACTTTGCAGAAGAAATTTGACACTTGTTGATTTTTATTTTGGTTTTATACCTAAATACAAGAAAAATGAGTCATTAGCAGCTACAGTACTACCCTGACGAAGCCCCGAGCGAATGAGCAAATACCTTTGGACCCAATATACTCATACAGTATGTTGCTTTATATACTGCTGCTGACTGACTCATTTTACTTACCTTTCATGGCCACAAACATTCATACAATATAATTTTGGAATAATAGGCCTACATAGACTACAATATTTATGTAGATTCACTTCTATCAACTCTTGGGCGAACGACATTAATACACTAATTCTGGATTATTTTGATATACTCTATACAATATTGATTTAGGTTCGCCTGTTCTTATCGAAATCTGCATCAATAGATCAGCAACCTGGGGTATCTGCATCTTTGAGATGGAAGAAACTGTACACAATGTTAATTCAATTGAAAAAATCTTTATTTGTATTAAAAATATAATAAAATCTAAATTGAACGCCATATAGGCCCGTAACCAGGTTCATGGGGAAGGAGGGGGAGTGGCATGACACGCGGAATGGGGGGTTTCCTATAGGCCAATTTGAACTCAAAAGTATTTCTTTAATGAAAAAAGTTATGATAAAATACGACTACGGTAATAAACTGATTAAAAAGAAGTGTTTCTTTAATGAAAGTTATAATACGACTACGTTAAACTGGTGGTCAAAAGGGGGTCCTATACCAAACACCCATCCCCTAGTTACGGACGGGCATGTCGTGTAAAACAAATTATTATAAACAATATCAATTTCATTTATTAAAAACGTAAAGAAATCGCCTATACAAAGGATGTTCCTTTATTTAAAGGATGTTCCTTCAATTATTAATATTATTCATTAAGCGAAAAGTAAAACTGTAGCCTAGGCCTATATTTAATTTTTTTTAACATACATTTTTGGCATAAAATGTGATATTTATATATTATTAACATGTTGCATGAACTTAATTAATTAAGAAACATGACCGGGCGCTACCGGGAGCTACCGGGCGCTATTTAGTAGGACCCGTAGTTAATTATTTGCCTAAGTTTTGTAAGCATACTTCATACTGTACTGGAATTGAACATTAAGGAATCTAATTTAATCTATGACGTTACATACATTACGATATCTGTATGTTTGTTTATGCCATTTGATTTGATATGTTCTTATAATGGCTGACTATAGATTTTATAATTACTGGAATGCATTGCTTCATATCATTGTATTGTTTTACTGTTCCATATTACTTGACTGATTTGATCATACTCTATTTTTTATGCTTAGTTATCAGACTACAGAGAGACTCAATAAAGTTTACCGTGATAGTATATGGTTGTTTGGGTATTTCTACTGTCTGCGTTGGGTGATTGTGGCGCCCTCTACCAAACCTAAACAGTTGATTGTAGAATCAACGACAATCAGTATACGTGTATTAATGGCAATGGTTGGAGACTTATATAGCGCATAATACATGGTCTCTATGCGCTCGGGACTAGATGTTGCACTTTACCCCTGTCTTCAGCAGCCAGTAAACCAGCGCACTTTCATCTGTCCACGACAGGGGCCGAATGAACCAGTACACCGGGGTAACTCCCTACTCATCTCGAAAGATGTACTGGGTTCTTTAAAGTGCACATGAGCATTTGTGTAC